GGGGGGGAGGTGGTTGAACCCAGCCGTGCTTAACCACTGAGCCCCCATCCCCAGACCATTTTATTTTTATTTTGAGACAGGTTCTTGCTAAGTAGCTTTGGGCCTCGCTAAGTTGCTGAGGCTGGCCTCCAACTTGTCATCCTCCTGCCTCAGCCTCCTGATCCGCTGGGATTATAGTGGTGCACCACTGTTCCCACCTATCTTCATCATTTTTGAAGTGTTTAGGCCACTGTGCTTAAGAACATTCTTAACTGTCGTGGGACCGTCCCTACCAGAGATTTATAACTTGTGAAACTGGAACTCCTAATTCTGTATTTTCCCTCTGCCAGCCCCTGTAACTACCCAATTCTAGTTTCTGTGTCTGAGCTGGATGACTCTGCAGACCCCCTATGAGTGGACTCACGCAGTGCTTGTCCTTTTGYGTGAGGCTGGTTTCACTGATCATGAGGTCCTTGGGGCTCAACCATCCTGAACCCAGTTTCCGAATTCTCTTCCTTTTGAAGGCTGCATAATATTCCATTGCATGGATACACCACCCTGTGTTTCTCCGTTCAGCCAGACACAGACAAATGGGTTGCTGTCTCCTTTGGGCTTTTTTTGAACTGCAGCTGTCAATAAAACTTAGCTGTGACCATCCTTTACAAACCATCTACGGGTTCSTTTGTGCATCCTACCCGAAAGAGCCACTGTGTCTTGCCAAGATGAAAACAGTTACCAGCTTCTGACCCCTCATTCGACCCCCAGCATCGACAGAACGTGGGTTCTCAGACAGAAGCAGAGGAGACGATTCAGATTTCTTAAAAGATACAAAGTTTTTTATTATTATCATTATTATTATTAAACAAAACCTGGAATCCATAGTATTATTCCATAAATTAGCGGTAAAATTTTCCTAGGGCCTATATATATATATATATTTACACACACACAAATCACAGTGATTTCCTTTGTGCAATGCATCGGCGGGATGAGAAACAGGCTTCTGAATTCCTCAGGAGGATCTGGGACTGACCGCCCTGCAGGGTGCACTCGCCAGATCTGCAAAGGGTGCACCGAGGACCTACGCRGTGGGCAAGAGCACAAGACACAGCGCACACACTCACACATAAAAAAAGACTCAAGCTGTGAGTCGTGCAGGATTGCAAAAATAYAAAATTAATATCCAATGACAAGATCGGCCTGAGGGAGGGCTTCCCATCCCACCCGTTAAAATGCACGTCGTAGAGTGATTTTTTTTTTTTTTTTAAACTTAAATAACAGACCCCTCCACAARAGGATCGAACTGCACGGTGAACAGAGTTTACAACATGAAAACTTATTAAAAACAACAACACAGGGCGTCCTCCTGTTCTCAGGGAGGAGGGTCCCGGGGGGGACACATAAGACTCAGTG